TCATTTTAGCGGTAATTTTAACATTGCCATTAAGCGCGGGATTTGGCTAGCCATAAAACCAGGTTCAATCCACCATTTTTTGTTAAAATGTCCTGTTTTCAGTCAGAAATATGGCAGTTGTTATCAAATAGTTCGTTTTTTATGTATGTTGCATTAGCTTTTGTTTTTGTTGCACTTCAGTGTTTTTGTTGTTCCGTCGTTTTCCTTTAAAGTTGATGTGGTTCCCTCGGTTTTAGTTTGTAACCCGGATTTGTTTTCTCTCAATTAATTTATGACTTTTGAACAGCTGTATACTGTTGTTGCCTTTATCTATGTACAAAACGATGAACTACAGGCTCCTCCGGACAGAAACATACAGAAGTGGCGGGGTTATACATGTTTTCTGGCGCTAAACCTTCCCCTAACCTGGGACAGTGTTGTTACAGTACAACATTAGAACAAACTATTAAAGTCAATTGAAAAGGGCTTAACAAATAAGATCAGTACGAAACACTAAAAAAACATAAAAGAAATGTACCTGAGATCTGAAAATACTCGCAGTCACTGAACGCTATAGTTCACATTCCCAACTTTATCGGTCCTATTCAGGACCGATAACTGTGTCGATAAATATTTGCGGGAATACCATGTTGAAATGTATGCAATCATAATTTTTTGTACACAAGGTAAAATTTCAATATCGGTTTTAATGCCTGAATGTTGCTTAAAATATTGAATTAAAAAAATAAATGACAAAAATCATATGCAATGAAGTCCCGTTTTCTATGGTGATATAAAAAAAACTATAAAATATAAAATTTGAATTAGAGTATTTTGTAAAACAATGATCGTGAAATATTAATATTTCATTTCGTTTTAAGCAAAAATCAACTTATTGAAGAATTTTTCATAATTTTCATTTTTCTTAAAGTTTATGATATACATTTCTTTATGTGTGTACACGGGAAATAGTAAATATTTATTGGTATCTTACAGAAAACGTTTGTATATAACAAAGTCTAAACTCTGGAAATACATATGTACACAGGATATTAATGTCACCTGGTGGCATTTGGTTTGACACGATTCCTTTGCGTTACCTGTTGTTATGTAACATTATAACCTTAGTCAGAGTTCACCTATTGACTTTAAAAGGTACAGAGCAAGTATCTACTGTACGGCTTTTTTTTTCTCTCTCGAGACGAAAACCTTTTTTTTCTAAAAAGAATATGTATAATTTTCAAAATACAAATAAATAATACAGAAAAAAGGGAAGAAGAAAAACCTAAAAAAAAGGCAAAAAATAATTCTTGTATAAATTTATAAATTTCAGTGTTAACTATTTTCTGAGATCAGTATACCTGTCAAAATATATGTTCCTGCTATTTTTTTTTACTTCACACATGAAACAATTAATATCTTATTGAGATATCTTGAAATCAAACATCAAAAAAAGATAACAGAAACAGCACAGATTCTGCATGAAAAATACACGATGGCTACAAATACATGCGACACTTCCAAACACATCCGCCATTTTGAAAAACCCGAATATTTCACTTTTTTTAAATCGATGTGGGACGTAATTTGCCCTCGAATTGAACTGTTTTAAGTATAATACTTCGCCAGACATATGTTTTAATATACTCAATAGAGTTACAAAGTTTTACTTTTTATTATGGAATTGTGAACTTGAAGTACAAGTAGACATGGAGTCGCTAGATTTAACATTGAGTCAACCAGGAAATGATGGGGAAAGTGCGATTTTTACGAATGTCCAGGAACGTAATTTATTCAATAATTAAACTGTCAGACCCAACATTATTTGTTAGATTATTTTCGAATACCAAGGATTAAATTGAAAAATTAGAAAACGGGTCAAAGTAATGAGAAAGTTGAACTTTATTGAAGCACCTATGTATTTTATATGGGGCAATATAACACTAAATGGCGGCTTTCCTAAGTCACCAAAGTCACCAACGTCATGTAGTGTCTTACTTGGTTGGATATGAAAACTATTAACAGCTAACAAAAAATCATGTATATAAGACTGAAATATCAATCAGTTAGCATCCAACATCCAATAGATTTAGTGTAAACACCCTATCTTAACCATCATATAGAGGCATGACCTTGTGACAAAGCGATGACACATCTTTAGCCCAAACAGTATGGTTTTGTACTTATACAATCCTTTTTTATAGTAAAACAATGGCCAGAAATTACTTCAATCAGATTAAATTTAAACTTAATACACCGAATTGTCTTCAAGATTATTTTCGTTTCGTTAATGCAGAGAGCTCTTTTGGTTCTTCAAAAGATGACAACATTTGATTGATTGATGGCATATTCTGTTTTCTTAACGTCCAGTGACAAATATTTCATCCATGTTGGCACAAGGAAACCTCTTGAAATAGTTGTTTTCGTTCATATACAAAATGTTAATTGTTTATGCGAATAAAAAGAAAGAAACACCAATGACTTGATTCTTTTAATTGAGACATTAAGAGTCGAAAAAAAAATCCATCGTAAAATAGATGCTTGTAAAAGTGAAAACAATTCATTATTGTTCATTGTTACGATTTCAATCGTCACACTAGTGCTAAATGTAACTTTGAAAGTAAATGACAACCGATATAGATAAAGATAATTTACACCCCTAATAACACTACAATTGACTGATATCGTTATATTATTAAGTAGTTACCTATAAAGCAACCTATTATCAGCTGTATATAAACACCCAAGAGATATGATATTCACATGACAATCAAACGTATTTATCACGTATTAAAATGAACAAACACTTTGTGAAACATGTAAGTAATTATTATTCAATTTCTTAAAATTTAAATCAGTCAATTCAAATTAAAACATGTTCATTGGAAAAAAAAGAATAGAATTGTTTGTTTGAAATAATGTTTCATTCTGAGATAACTTTGTGATTGTGTTCGAGAAAATTTCGTAACTACGTGTTTAACATTTCCGACATCTTATAATTAATTAGAATTACTTGTACCAGCTGGTTATGGTTATCTGAGGGAAACAACCAATGATGGCGCAATCTGCTTCGAAGTCCTGTGATATATGCATGGGTGGACCAGGGCATAACTTTTGCGAACAATGCGACCAACGGATGTGTGAAAACTGTAAAACTTTACATTTACGGTCAAAAATATGTAGAAACCATTCCTTCCTCAGTGGGTCAAAAATCGTCCCGGAAGAAAGCCCGTTCTGCAAAAAACACGACGAAAACTTTATATTTTACTGTGTTGATTGTGACATACCAATATGTAAAATGTGTATCGTCAAAAATCACAAAAGGCATGATACGTCTGATATCAACGAGTCGACAAAGGAATTACAGGCTGAAGTGAAAAATGTAGTTGACTCAAAGATTAAATCCGTCAAAACAATTCTAGACAAAATTGAACAAGGCACAGGACGATACCAGAAAGTCGTAAAAGAGGCTATTCGTACAGTTACAGAAGAAGGGAAGCAGATGAAACAATGGATTGACAAAAACGTACAAGCTCTTATATCATCATTGCAAGAAAAAGAAACAGCAATGCTTCTGGCCTTACAATCTGCTAGAAATGACTTTCAAAATGATATGGAAAAGTTAAAGAAAAGCCAGAACTTTTTTACAAAAAGCCAGAAAATTGGCGATCCTACTAAACGTCTGAAAAAGTTAAAAGATATAAAATTGGAGATAGATGTTGCAGTTGAAAAGCAGTCACCGATCATGCCGACAATAAAATATTACAGAAAGAATGTATCAGAACAAGAAATAATCAGTCTTTTTGGAAACATTTCCATCCAGTACGTTAATACCTCTAAAAAAATGTTGTAATGTCAATACACCGTAGTTTGTTTTCATCTATTCACCTGATACTAATTTCATAACCATTGAATGACTTTTGTTATAAGTTAATTTTCTATAGATTAGAAATATGCATTTAAATTGTTGTTCCACCTTCATGCATTTGCCGTTGCATGCACATGCATGCCTTAGTTCATACAGATGAACTAGTATGACAGGAAAGCATACACATAATTACAGCAAGTGACACACAAATAGGGAGTAACACGTACGATCTGATTAGAATACAGAGCCTGAGTCTACGCTTTGTTCATTAGGATCTGACAAATCTCTATTCTTCTTCTGTTCCAGTAATTACTACGTCAATCAATGCTCACTCAAAGTATGAACACATGATCAATATTTTAATAAGACTGAATTGATCTATTACATATGCAAGCTAGAATATGCGCTAGGCAAAAAAGAAAAAAAGCACATAGTTTTAAAAATTGCGCAAAACTTTTTTGTCTTTATTTTATAAAACTATCTTATATAAAATGTGTAATCAACTTTTCATTTTCTATGTAAATCGCCAAACTCTTAATCATTTGTTAATTACCCTTATCACAATTATTTGAAGAAAACAAATCGATATTTCGATATGCAGCACACGACACATATTCTAATATAATACCAAATAAGTATGAAAATAACATTATCGCAGTGAAAACGCACGCAGTGTATCTGACACATAAAATGTACATTTAGGAAGCAAACATTTAACTTCAAGGGGAGGGAGGGGGGATGGGGGAGGGTTATGAATTTTTGTCTGAGTCAGAAAATTTTATGTAGTTTTTCAACGCTCTCAATCAAATTGTTTTGTTCAAAATTTAACACTGTAAGGTATTGGCGAAATCTGGATTTAGACTAATTTGTTTTGTCCTCCGCTTGAACAGAATATTTTTTTTCATCAAAACCCATACACTGCATTCAATGGTTACACAACCACAACATAAAGGAAACATGATAAATACACACACACGCCGCAGAGGGTAAATAATTTTGTTAGAGTGATAACCGTTTCCAGGGTGACATAATGCTTTTAGCGTTAAATATGAATGCAATTAATTTGTACATCATTAACTCATGTAATTGCAAAACGAGGACAAATATGAGTACGTATAAATATTTGTCTTATTTGGTTTTTCTTTAGAGAAGTATGTTACAGTATAGAGAAGACTTCGAAGAGAGAGACCAGGTATTTCCTTTACACTTTAAAGATACTTTGATAACAAGAAAATGTCTTTTATTATGTTTTTTTTTTTATTTTGGAATGTTCAAAATAAACTTTGAACAACATATTGAACGTAAAAGCGCGCTATTATGTGCAATTGACGAAATAGCAACAGTGATGTTGGAATCATAGATAAAGCGTCATGTTTAATTGTTTGTATGTAGGAAGTACACCTCTGAGTACCCAAATATTTCTATAATTTAATTACTTTTCTTAACCTGTTTCTGGGGGTTGTTTGTCCGTAAGAAAGTGACTGATGAAGAGAAAGTCATATAGTGGTGCACTCGTTTCGAAAGTATCCCAATGTTTACGATTTTCCCATTTTTCATAATTTTTAACCAATTTTTGGGCTAATATGATAAAAAAAATCACAGTTTCGATTTTTTTTTCAATGTTTAAAAATTAAACTTAAAGAAATATAGGTTGGTGTCAATATTAGAAAGTTTTATAACATTTGTTTCTTTTTCATGTCAAATTGTACATGTGATCAATTTTGTAAATTTGGGATTTTTCTTTTTTTTTTCGAACAAAAAACAAAGTATTGACGCATTTTTCCTGTATTAAAATCATATTTAAAAGATTCGATAACATTTATTTTATCTCACGCCTTTAAATTTCAGTTTGGTGTAAGGAGTTTTAGAACATGACACTTAAATCTACAATATATTTGCAGAACAATATCATAATGGTAATGTTCAAGTGTTTCTTCTGAGAGATGTCCTTCATTGTTAGTGTATTGTTACTTCTTAAGTATTTGTTTCCATTTCTTTGTGATAAATGTTTGAAAAAAAACATATGTAAGAATTTTAAAAAGAAACATTGATATTGGAAGAACATATTTCTGGTAAAATCATTTCTTCGTACCCTCATTAATTTTCTCCACATTTTGGCTGATGACACTGATTGAATTGGTTATAAAATTCGAAAATTTTATTACTAAATAACAACGTATTGTAAGTACACAATTTTCTTCACAGTGTTTAGTTTGACTTTGATTTTTGAAATTCATTCATATTTTCCACTTGTGTCCAATGTTTTGGAAATAATACCCGAACGATATTTCAAGACTGAAACATCAAGGAAATACATTTTTAATTATTAAATAAAGACTGAAAGAGAGAGAGAGAGAGAGAGAGAGAGAGAGAGAGAGAGAGAGAGAGAGAGAGAGAGTTTAGAATTTTGAAATGACATAGTTTTGCCCTGATTATTTAGCAATTCACGCATTGTCCAAATTCCAACTTTAGCCCAGTTTTTATAATAAACACTTGAACCATAATTTATAATTTTGTGTCCCTTCCACAAAGGATAAATTAGCATCTAATCAACACGTATTGGTTAGTCTAATTTGAAAAAAAAGTGTTTTCGTAGCATCCAAAACCGTATCCAAAAATGTATTTGTTGATACTTTTTCCATTGTTTTTCAGTGAAGAACAAATTTCTGAGTAAGTATCAGTATATATCTACAACAACATATTAAACAAAAATATTTATCAATTGTGAGCATAAACATTTAAAAAAAAATGTGTTTCATAAGTATATTCAATCCATGATAGTACTAATGGGCCACATATAACTCATCTCAATACAATTATTTGCTCCTCAGAAGAGACTGATCTCATCACCTCTGAATTTGGTCATACAGCTTTCTTATCCATGTACTTTTCAGTCCCTGTGTAAATGCTTTTAGATTTATAAATTAAGTATGATTATATTACAGCTTGTGAAAACCAACATATGTGCATTGACTTTGAACTTTTCTATACAGATGAAATAAATAATATGGACATTTTTTGTAAAAGATCGTGTGACATTTAGCATAAACATTTGAACAAATATGGCAAAACACGCCCACAAATTTTTGAAATGTTGTATTTATCGTTTCGGTTTCTTGATTTTCACTTTCATCAGTTCATATTTTCAAATCTCTGATTTCAGAGAGCATTCAACAAAGATACTGCACAGATATCAATGTTACAGTTGTGGGTAAGAATAAAGTTTTATTTAGATTGAATGTGATGTTTGGATTTGCCAAGGTGTTATGAGAAACCATCCTTTCGACGAATATAAGGAAGAGTTAATCACAAATAAAACGATTGGCACACTTGTAAACACTGCACAACATAAAAATACTAGAACAAAGGGTACGGCATGTGAAATAATAAAAATGGCATAACCAGGCAAATCATCAATTCAATTCTAAGAATTAGTTAACAAGAAAACCACGACGTTCAGACAGATAGGAGAAAAAGAAAATGACTGAACAAAGAAATAATAATTAGGATAACATGGTCTTACAACACCAGAAAATGAAAATAATTACGAAAATGACAAAATCAAGAACATTTATAGCGATAACACGGTCTTACAACACCAGAAAAAGAAGACAATTGTAAGAAATAACTAATTCATAATCGCGTTGTTCAATTCTTATCAGTTTTAATAGATACAAAGGAAAGAATATGATTTAGAAGATAATATTCAACCCTATACAAAGTAGAATTCAACCCCGAGATAATATATGTTGATGATGAAATTAATTTGAAGAATTCGAACTAACAGTACTGTTGAAATGGATTCTTTTTAATTATAGAAAATTTAATTCGAAAAAGAATACTTTTACGATAGTAACTTTTATGTTGATTTGCAGGGAAGAAAACCTGTCTGAGTAAGTATCAGTAAATATCTACAACAACCTATTGAAATATACTCGTTTATCAATTGTGACCATGAAAATCGAAACATCTGTTTCATAAGTGTATTTAATCAATGACAGTCGTTATAGTTTTTCATTGAAGTTCTTTTCATGTTTGTGTTTATAACGACTTTATAAAGTTTTATAAACATTCGTCTTGCTTAAAGTTGATGAAAAAGTGTGGTTCCTTTACTTTCTATCAGTGTATCAATGGAAAATGATACAATGTCTTTTTTGTAGTACAGAAATTCAACCATGAAAAATATACATTTTAAGCAAAAGTAGATTAGAAGAAGTGGTTTGTATTGGACTTGTATTTTTTTAGACATGCTTTCCATTTAAGTAATATAACATGTGGCCTTAAAGAAAATGAACAAAATAAGCGTCTAGTCTTACTGACGACCATCTGTTGACTATATAACGTAAGACGATTTTTGGGAAACTTATACAGATTTTTTTTTATCAAAAAAGAATTAATAATCAATCAGTACAACCACGTGATATTGTATCTTAAGTTTTTTGATGAAAGAGTAAAGTAGATTAAATATCAAATAAAGCTTAACCAACTCATAAGTAATTACTGTTAAAACTATTTCAATATTTTTTTTTTTTATTTTGCATTTTGTTTTATAGAAGCAACCCTACAAGGTGAGTATTAAATCATATTATTTTCATAAGATAATATTTAAAACCTACCAATTCAATAAAATTATATAATTGACTATGCAACCTTCAATTCAGATTTAAACAAAAGTGGTTTTTTTTCTGTAAATGTGAATAGCAGTTTTTCTATCACTCTCTACTAGAATAAGTGATACAAAGATATCGCGTAAGTGAGAGGCGAAAGATAACAAAAAAACATTCAAACTCATAAGTCGAAAATAAACTGACAACGCCATAGCTAAGAAGGAAACAGACCAAAGACAAACAACAGTACACTTAAAACAACATAGAAAATTAAAAACTGAGCAGCACGAATCCCACCAAGAACTAGGGGTGATCTCAGGTGCTCCGAAAGGGTCTGCTGATCCTGCTCCACATGTGTCACCCGTCGTGTTGCTCATGTTAGTACAAACCCAAAAGTGAGTCTAATTCGGTCGGTCAAATTCGAGGAAAAGGAGACTGGATTGTAGTTATAACATTTTGGAACATATCCGCTCTCATCTGTGAACAGATTTCATCAACTCGTGACGGCGTAAAATTTATAAAAGGGTGATCAGCACTCGGAACCCTTGGTTTAATAGCTTCCTTTTGTGCAGTAATCCTATATCATGGAAATCATGATAGGAAATACAAGCCCTGGAATATTGTATCAACTTGGAGATATATTCTCCGTATGCAGGCGCTGTTGGAATTTTGCTACATAATAATAGAAAGTTCACAATTTGGCAGCTGAATTCATATCTTTTGTCGTAAAGTTTTGTTTTCAACCGACCCACATTGTCAATTTCGAGATGTTAGGCAAAAAATGAGGCACACTTAACTGTATCTGTTCTATCCTTAATCTCAGATTCGATGGATAAAATGCGTTCAACATAGTCAACCCATTTTGAATTATTCAGTAAGAGAACCTCATCTATATAGCGGAAAGTAAAGTTAAAGGATTCTGCTCAGAAGTTTCTGAATGAAGTTAGCCTAATAGAAATAAAGGAATAAGTCGGCAAGAAGAGGGGTACAGTTGGCTCTTTGCAGAAGCTAAATGAAAACCCGCAAACGAACGTTCAGTTTGCTTAACAGATGAATATGTGAAAATCAACAATATTGAATGCTATTGTTTTCAAAACTAAACAGGTGCATACGTAAGCATGGTACGCTTGGATTTCACAAAGCAAAACATTCAAATTATTTAAACAATTATCTTAAAGAGAACAGTAAGATAACAAGCCATACCCACTTACACATTGTACAATACCACTAAGATACACTGCAAACTGTTCAAAATCTGAAAAGACCGTAATTTTTTGCACGACTAGTAAGGTCGACCACAGATTTTACTTGACAAGACTCGACATAATCTCGACAGAACTTTACTGTACTTAACTGTACTCGACTTTGGTCTCGACTTTACTTAATAAGTCTGATTAAGTACTTGATAATTTCGGTATTGTCTGATTATGGTCTCGACCAGTCTCAATTTTCAGTCTCGACCAGTCTCGACCTATCTCGACCTGTCGTGACCAGTCTAGACTTGTCTAGACATGTCTCGACTCAGTCTTGACCTTTGAGTTTAGTCTTGACTGGTCTGATTCAGCCCATCTAACTCAATTATATATTGATCATACAAAATTACAAGTTATTAGTAGTTTGGTTCATTTCTGTCAAATTGAAAGATAATTAATAGTTTAGCAAAAGCTAGAATTTTCAGTTCTGATTAAATTCAGAGAGTCACCTTTAATTATTTCTATAACGTTCTCAAATCAACATGGATTTTCATAAAACTTTACAGCTATCTCAATTATAAATTGATCTTATAGAATGTCAGGTTGTTTTTTAGTTTAGTGTATTGCTGTCAAATTTAAGGATTTAATTAATAGTTAAAAAAAGCTAAAATCTTAAGTTTTAGATAGATACCTATAAATTTAATCTTTAAATTTGACAGCAATAAAACAAACTACCAAATAACCTGGTATTTTGTAAGATTAAAACATAATTGAGATAGCTGTGTAGTTGTATGAAAATTCAAGTTGATTTGAAAAAGTTATAAATACATTTTAAGGTGACTATCTGAAATTAGTCCGAACTGAAAATTCTAGCTCATTTTTTACATAGAAACAAAATTATAGAATTTGACAGAGATACACCAAACTACCAAACAACCAAGCATTCTGTAAGATAAATATATAATTCAGATAGCTGTATAGTTTGATGAAAATTCAAGTTGATTTGAAAAAATTTTAAAACCTTTTAAGGTGATTATCTGAATTTAGTCCGAACTGAAAATTCTAGCTTTTTTACCTATTAATTAAATCCTTAAATTTGATAGCAATACACCAAACTACCAAACAACCTGACATTCTGAAAGATCGATAAACAATTGAGATAGCTGCATAGATTCATGACCATCCAAGTTGATTTGTAAAAGTTATAGAAAAAATTAAAGGTGACTATCTGAATTTAACCAGAAATGAAAATTGTAGCTTTTTCCCCCTATTAATTAAATCTTTTTATTTGACAGCAATGAACCAAACTACCAAATAACCTGTAATTTTGTAAGATCATTACATAATTGAGTTAGATAGGCTGATTCAGACCAGTCTAGACAACATTTAAAGGTTCAAGACTGAGTCGAAACAGGTCGAGACAGGTCGAGACTGGCCACGACTGAGTCGAGACTGGTCGAGACCATATTTAGACTGTACCAAAATCATCAAGTACATAATCAGACTAAAGTCGAGTACAGTTGAGTACAGATATGTACTGTCGAGATTATTTCGAGTCAAGTAAAATCTGTGCTCGACCTTACTGGTCGAGCACAAAATATGGTCTTTTCAGACACTGAGCCGTTTGTCGTGATAATGGCATTCCTAATGTATTCATCCGAAGAAAAAAAAATACCTTTGATACATGTTACTTTATTCCACGAACTTTTTGATCATATTTATGTTGTATTTTACAGTTGGCCAATACATGGACGATTTTTTGTAAGTTTGTATATATACACATTAACGATGTATTTTCCATTTGATATAGCATAGCTGAATATTTAACCGATAAAACACAAAATCGTTTTTAGCAATATGTTGCCTTTTATTTCAATTAACCTTGACCACTAAATTCGAAAAATAATCAAACTCTGAGCTCATAACCTATACACTTTGGGTTTGCCTTTGTCATTAAAGGCACAGTTTAAGACACTATTTTGTAAATGAAGCAAAAACATTTTGATTTGATTTTGGAAAATTAGAAAATGCTGATCATGAATGAATACTATATGATATGGTTTAACATAGAAAAAAAGTAAATAACAAACCGAAAACCCAAATCTAGTTTTACTTTAGTAGTATTGAACTTATGTAAACTTCATTAGACAATTTAAATCAAATATATGTTCCATCATAAGAACGTTTTGAGACGATCACTTTACAAAGGATACGATACAAAGTGATTCTTGCAGTAAAAAAATATGAGTATGTATGTCTTCATGGTCAAAGCCTAAATGATAGATATGAATGAAATATTAAACTGTGTAAATCTATTATACGTAATTTCAGTGATAAATTATGATGTGAATACAATATTTTATTTTAATTTGTCTTTTTAAAGATGCTATATTTTAGCATCTGCAAAAACTGTCGGTGAGTGTGTTTTATGTTTATATCACCTTTCCTTCCTTATGATTTATCTTTGTATTTGGTTTTGCTTTCCTTTCCTTTTGTTTTGCTAAGTTTGTTTGATGTTCGTTCCAATACATTCGTACGGAATGTCTTATGATATTACTAAAATAAATTCATAGTTATCACAGAAATAAGAAGATGTGATATGAGTGCCAATGAAACAACTCTCCATCCAAGTCACATTGTGTAAAAAGAAAATAATCAGAGGTTTTAGTACAGACTTCAACACCGATGCTTGGCTCACACCGATTGCAAACGAAAAAGGGCCCCAAAATGACTAGTGTAAAACAATTAAAACAGGAAAACCAACGTCTTATCTATATAAAACACGAGAAACGAGAAACACTTATGAACCACATCAACAAACGACAACCACTGAACAACAGGTTAATATTTCTTTTATAGTCAACACTCTCGTTGTATTGAATCAAATATCTTCGAATGATTGATCTAGTTTTTGCATATCGTGTATGACGTTATATGTCATGTTTCGGTGTCAAACTTTAACATCGGACATTTTAAAACTGTTCGTACTCAGAACATAATAAGATTTGACAAAAAGAAGATTTTCAGGTAAAAAGTGTGAGTGTTTTGTATATTATTGAAGAAATCAAATATGTCAACTGCCATTGGCAGAATGTACATCGTCTTAACCTTTGAAAAACATCAATGACACAACGAATAACCAGTGTAGATTTCGTATTATCGCCTCATGATGCTGAATAAGCCAATTAAATCATCGCAGATTTTCGTATCACTATTTATCATATAACACTTCGTGTCATGTGATACGAGAAATATCTCATCATTCAAGAAAAAGATAACAGGCCGCAGCCATAAGAGAAATACAAATTTTAGGATGTGCTGACAATACAATACACACTAACTTCGCGTAATAGCATTCAAGCATTGTGTGCAGGCAGGACGAATAATTTCACATTATATGTATACATGTAATATGAATACCCCATGTATGTGAAACCAATCAAACTTAGTTTTATTGAAAGAAATGCAGTCATACATTTTCTATGTAGATTTCAGTTTCATAGAATCGGTATGTATAGAACAACCAGTCAGTCAATATTACCATGTTAAGAAAATAAAGTATACATGTACTTCATAAAAACAGCAAACACATACCAAATGGTCTGTATAGAAAAGACATTATGAATTAATAAAATTGACTTAAACATTTTATTTTCATAAGAGTTAATAGACCACTGTAAATACCAACTTCATATGTAAACGCTTTACTGGTTGTAGACAAAATGCATGGACAATTATTGAAAATGATGTCATTTAAGCTATTTAATAGATAACAAAAAAAAGAAGACAATTTTTAAATATCAAACCAAACATTCCAAAAAAGCATTTCATTTTAGCATGTCATATGTATTACATTACACCACGTTAGCACCAAGCAGCAACTGTCGTTGTCTATAAATGCAACTTTTCTGCTGGTAATTGGCGATATTTGTTTTTTGCTTTTGCTAGATTATCTGCATAACTCACAAGGAAAGCTGATTTTAAATGTTTTTAACAAAATATCAATATTAATAGCTAGTATGTATGTTTGTCCTAATATGTAATCATATCTTTCAGATGTCTAAGGTGGTGTTTTCTCAAAAAAGAGAAGTAATAGAAAACTTAAGAAACAACGCAAATATACATAACAATTCATTATTTATTTCGATTATGCTGAAAATGCTGATCAATTTGATGGCATTTGAATCTTTATTGTAGTATATCTTTGTACCAGCTTTACAAAAACTGTTTAATCATGCAATAAATTTGACTTTTTTAGTCTCAATCGTTTATCAATTTTTCCCCTTGAGAGACATTTAAAACATTTGAAACTATTAATTTGACGTAATAAATGATAATAATTTATGGAATTTACTCAATTAAAATAGAATTTCTTTTTGTTTATGAAGGTAATCATAACCCTTCTCACTTTGCCGCGATTATTTATTGAAATAATATACCAACGAGTTCCCCTAAGTTTTCCCATCATTTTGTTCTGTGCATGTATACCGTCTATATCCTTTAAATTTCACTTAAGTAAAATTATTTAAAGGAGGTTAGTAACAATTCGTATGTTGAAGAAGATATGACCATTGCAAAATGCGACAACAGAATAAAGGGTCCAAACAATTAGCTCCTACAAAAAAAAACAAGAGTGGACTCAGGATATTACAAAGGGTATGCAGCTGCTGCTCCTTCAGTTGCATTGGTCGTTCTGCTCATGCCAAATAATTAGGGAAATACAACAACTGATTCCCTTAATATCGGTATTTGTGTTCCATAACGATTGACCTCATTCATCATTAATAATACTGTCATTTCATACGACCCGTGAGAGGTTTAGCTAGCTATAAAATCAGGTTCAATCCACACTTTTCTGCATAAGGAAAGGCCTGTACCAAGTTAGAAATATGACAGTTGTTTTACCACTCGTTTGAGGTGTTTGTGCTTTTGATTTTGCCATTTGATAGGGGACTTTTAGACTTCATTTTCCTTAGAGTTCAGAAATTTTGTTATTTCTCTTTTTTCAGGGTTCACCTGACCTTGACCTCTTTCCCAGGGTTCATTTGACAACATTTTCCCTTATATTCATACCTTTAATTATTCCACAGTAAAAAAAACGCTTTAAATGAAAAGCAGTAGACTATTATTGTCTCTATCATATTTACAAATCATGTGTTTCTACAATATAACAGAGTAATGAAATTAATAAAGAAATCAAGGAAAACATACATTTCAACCCATTGCAGAATATAAGTTGATTTTCCTAGAATAACTGAAATATCATTATGTATATGTGCCAGCAGTAATGAATCATTAAACAATAGTTATATATCAGTTGTAATTTATCGTATATCAATACATTATTAACTGATAACAGAGTACTTATATTTAACAAATGTTGTTAGTTTACATTTTACAAGTACTGAAGATATAAATTTGATACAAACCCGAACACTGCAGTATACGTAACCAATATCAACTAAACTTAGATTTCAGTATTGTATCCTATCCGCATCCTGGTGCTAGTTGACACTCTCAAACTATGTTCAGACGAAAACAAATTTTCGCAAATGATTTACAAGATCGCATACATTTGATAATGGACTTTCCGTTTTGAATTTTCTTCGGAGTTCGGTATTTTTGTGATTTTACTTTATACTATCAACACAGTGTAAAACATGAAAGTATCAAATGAATCAAGTATTTTCAAGATATTCTAAACATGTGCGGATTTTCAAATATTTCTCAACTACAAAATGGACATTTCTCAAATTGGCATAATCGAAGCATCAAAATGAGGCTAATTGACCAATACAAACACACGTGGTACACTTCAATACAAACAATACCCAAAATGCATGAGTTATAGACTGTTAAAAAAGCATTGAACTTTGAGAACAACCTGAATATTCTTGATGACAGAAATGTGTTACCTTAATATGTAAATGCATAGCAGGTAACCATGAGTTGCCTATAGAAAAGGGGAGAACGCATAAGCATCGTACTAATATCTTTCTATATAGTTTTACATTTTATTTTACATGTTACTAAACATGTATGCCATCATATTTTGTACTTCATTTTTCAAATATCGTACTGCATTTGTTTATCTCAAATATTGTATTTGACATGAACTGGGAATTTTTTTTTATATCATTATACCTTTAAATAGGATAAAGTCAAGATCGGGAAACCAAAGGGCACCAAGATTTTTTATCAAAATTTTGAATTGGTTTAAATACTTGCATATATCATTAGAATAAAACTGATACTGGAGCAGGAAGATTATTGGAATTGATGTAGTTTTTTTTTTATTAATGTTGGTCATGATTATTCTTGTTAAAACACGAAATACAGAGATTATACCGGATTCAAAAATAAAATTACTGGCTTTGCATCGAATCTATTATATCTGCTATGAGAAGCGGGGAAACGAGAATGTTTTTTATATACAAAAGATAATTGTATAAAAACAGTTTTACTGTATATAATTTCAACATATTTTTAGATAATATGTTACAGTAACTGTTCTTATTTCTTCTTTAATTTTCTAGCATGTACAATTTTAAATTATTTGCGTTTTTTAAAGTAGTAACACGTTTTCACGAATACAAATTGCATGTTTAATTACAGATTGAAACCGATGGCTTTATCTGACATATTCTTGGCTTGTGTAATTGGTATATATTTGTATATTATCAATATCTTTACAACGTCTGGATTTTATTATACACAATTAGCGTTATTAGATCAATTTTGGTAATTAACACATACGGTTTTCCTTTTAAGGTATCCAGTAGTGCTAAAAGATGAACTATTTCACAGTCAG